AAATCTTGGTCTCGCTGCCGACGTAGCAGAGCCGGTTGACGTGCAGACGAGGGATAATCCTTTAGCCGTAGCTGCACATGAACTTGGCCTTGTAATTTTGGGTCTGAGGATTGAGATCCCGCATGCGGCCGACGTTAGTAGCAGTAGAAGGATGTGGATGGTTCTGCGAGAGCCACACGTATTGCTGCTACTCGTATAAGTACATGGATGATGCACCGACTCGAAAATCTACTGCTCAACCGCTTCGATAAGGTGACCCAGATCCGGATCCACGAATTCATCGTCATTGAAGAGCTTCCCAGAGATACTGTAGAGGCGAATTAAGCAGAGAGGATAGCCATTTGGAGAGTTTGGTTCAATAATTGGGCAAAGTGGGCGGGGGCAATTGGACCATGAAGCCCATTAGGGGGGCGTCTAGGTTGTGCTCCTGGTTTGTGGATTTCATGGTCCTTCTCATCCATTCTTTTCGACTATGTTGTCAGTTAACGAAAGATTGAGAAGGATTCTAAGACGAGAGAGAGAACATATGAAGGAATGTGTTGGTTTGTGTCTAGGCTGCTTAGAGAATTTGGTCACAGGGGTTTTGCAGATTCACGGTGGAGGTGAAAAATTGAGAGAGAACCGATATAGCTTTTCATGTCGTTTCCCACAGACGATGCCAAATGTTGATGCACAAAACCAGAGGTCTTGGAACAACGTAAATTCGACCGTGAATCTGCAGGTAATGTAAATAACACAAGATGTATCATGGTTCACCCCAAGGTTTGGGCTACGTCCACACTGATTGTATTTCTCTGAGAGTATTTGTGATGGAGAGAGTGTGAGAGCTTTGCTCTAGATAGGAGAGACTTAGGGTTTGTGAGGGTAAGGAAGCCCTTTTATAAAATAAGGGCTCCTCCCCTAATTACATATTTGCCCATTCCTTTATTACATAATTACATTTAAGTCCTCTGAGTATTTATACGATGCCTAAATACGATGCCCTAAATATGGTATAAACACACTTTAAAACAAAAGGGGCATGCAAGATGATCAACTAGGGCATTGAGCAACCCCAGCTTCTTTAAAAAAAAAGGTTTTCTACTTGTATTTATCTGATTTTATTTTAGAAGTGTGTTTGATTTTTGTGTCTTTAAGCCTGAAAAGATAAACTAGATGATCAACGGAAGAAGTTGGAAATGTAGGGCCTCATACCGAAAAGAGAAACTATCTTCATAAATAAATCACAATATTGACAAGTGGCATTGAAGTAATAATAATAAGCGTGGACAAAACCAAGATGGTACCAACGTGTTGATTTGTCCTTATGGTACGAATAAATATAATGCTAAAAATTTGATAGAAGTTTGGACTGATATTATATAATAACAATTTATAAAAAAAATTGAAAATTGAAATTTGGGAATTGTTTATGTTTTTTTATTTTCATAAAATTCTCTTTGTGCATGTGTGTGTGAACTATGAACATACGTAAGAGGTGTATATGACCAACAATCGTCTGTAAAATATGTTGGAAGTTTGAAGATATACATCTGATGCGTAACATAATAAAATGATTGATCATCCAAAAGGGAAACTTTAAGAAGAAAATGGATAATATATCGTATAATTAATTTTTAGATTATTTGGCAGTTGAATTATCTCTATCAATCCAAATTGAATAAATGAAAAATCTTGCCCTATTTTTCTGTTTTTAGTAAGATGAACAGTTTTTAATTTGAACAATCTGACTTTCCTAATGATTGATGAACACTTGATACTGTGACAGGCATATGGACATATTCTCTGATCATTTGAAGCAGTTAACTGTCGGCTAGATTCATTAATAAATTAAATCATCCTGATTATTAGGCTTAACATGCTCCGTCCCATGGTTTCAACATCCAAATCTATGTGCTAGCTTAACCTCCTTGAACACTAAAAGAATAGTGATTATTAGGGGTGGTGGATTTGAGGCCGATATAAAGTTTTCACCCTATTAATTTCCATTAGGGGCGAAAATAAAGGGCAAGGAGTTAAACTAAGAGCTAATTTATCATGAATTGTAAGTTTTATTGAAGAAAATGATATCAATTTTACAGTAATAGGCATGAAAAAAAGTCCAAAGGTACTTATGTTCAAAATATTAAAGCAAATTCTATACGCTACAACAAAATAAATGAAAGAGTAAGGTCAATCATAACTCAAATTCTTCATCGACAATTAAATTTGTAATGTTTTTATGATTCAAGTAAAAAAATATATATAAAGTATGCATGATGCTAATTAGCTATAGTTCTAATATCATGTCAGCATCATCGATTTCATAGTCCTTATTGAGACAATACAAGACATGGCGCGGCTGGAAAAGAAAGCAAGAAAAGACAAGTGGCTGTGTAAATCAAGTCGCTCACGGCGCCGAAATGGCCGGGACCAATTCCTTGTAATATTACCCCACGAGTTATGAGTGCTCGAAAGGCCAAACATAACTGATGCATGCATAACTCCTTCCAAGCTTTTACGCGGAGCTGTTTCTTCTATGTCGGCATGTCAAGTTCAGGAAACACAGACCTCATAACCATTAACATAAATGTTGAGGCGATCACAATAAATCACATCACGTCATCGCAAATTTGAATTTAGCTAAATTAGTTTGAACTTAGAGCCACTGTACTCTTTCTTAAGTTTAACTTCCTCATGTGATTAAAATAAAAATTAGCTAGTGTAGAATTTCTTTTCTTCTTTTTTTTTTATAAAAAAGTCACATCATATGAATGAATCACACATTCTAATATGATCATCGTTCTATAGGAAGTGAAGTGACAAAAATATCCTTCCACATGAGAGGCCCATGACATACTTTAATGGAAAAATGGATGGAAAGTAATATATGTATTAGATTCCAATAATTAAGAGAATTTATGTATAACAATTAAAAATTGAAAATTCAAGTAGTGTTGGTGCACCTGCTTATAAGTTCAGATGATACTTGTCCAAATTCCCTTTTATTAAAAGAACCTAGCCTGTGTCGACCTCTTCTTGATGTTCCAACAAAAAAGGTAAAAAAAACCTCTTCTAGATGTTCATGCTTTACAAATTTATCTGATAAAGAAAAGAAAATTAAATAACAAGAGAAAATAAGTAAATAAAAATATTTTAATAATAATAATAATAAATCTCTCAATTTTTCCCCACTTTCTTTTTGCCAGAAAGGGATGATCTCTGGATCATTTCCTCATAATCCACCAAGTATAGGGATCCCGGCTATTAAAATTTGATCAAACAGCTACAAACAGATGCCTACTTTAAAAGTTATAACTTTAGCGTTGGATCAAATTTTAATAATCTAGATCTCTGAATTTTGTGGATTATGAGAAAGGGATATGGAGATGATCCCCTTCCTTTTTGCCTACAATAACTACCACTATTCTTAGTCTCTTTTCATCTGGCCGCCATAACTGTCATACTTTTCTAGTATGTACATAGTTTACTATACTAGCCTCTTGCCACACGCATACGCGTGTGGCAATTGACATTTTTATATATCTTTTATTTAAATAATTAATTTACATATTTTTTAAAAAATTATTTAAAAAAAAAAGAAGAAATGAATTAAAAATGTGAAACCACCCACTAATGTCGGAGGTTTTGTTTTTTTTTCTATAATTTTAAATATTAAATTCATTCAAAATAAAAATATGGTTAAATACTTTAGCTTCTTTTGGTTCAATTGTAATTTATGAAATTCTTAAAGGACAATTTATGGTATTTTGAATGTTTCACCATTTTAGGGTGCTCACTTTATATATATAGATAGATAATCTGAAATCTTGTTCCTTCATTAGTCAAAGCCTTAGACAAACTAGAAATATTTTTTTTTAATACAAAGAATAGTTTACCCCAATATTTATTTAAGGATAATGCTAGGATGACTATAAATTTAAACCAAATTTACAAACTAAATTATGTGTTATCAATAGGAAATAAACACGTTAATCAACACTTAAATAATAATTCAATCATCAACAATCGCATCATTTGGTTTGCAAATTTGGTTTCCCTAGCATTATCCTTTATTTAAATTGCAAGTGACCCTTTATCATGGAAAGAAGTTGAGTTTTTGTATGACGGCTTGAGTTCGAACCCCGTCAATGACTAATCTAACAAATCTACCATTTGGCATATAAAAAAAAGTTTTTTTAAATTATAGAAAGAGAATTTCAAATTTGAGTACATAACAAAAAACATATTAACTAACTTAGAAGCTCGTGCCACTTAGTACTACTGTCTAGTGGTATTCCTTTTCGCTTGTAAGTGAGAGGTCTTAGGTTTGATTATAGCCAAAAAACATATTAACTAACTTAGAAGCTCACGCCACTTAGTACTACGGTCTAGTGATATTCTTTTTCGTTTGTAAGTGAGAGGTCTTATGTTCGATTATAGCCAAAAGTAAATTCGAACCATATTATTACTAGCTCATTGTGAGGCTAATCTCACTCCCTCCCTCTTAATATAGATAATATCGTTTGTAAAAAAAAAATTTAAAAAAAATTTAAAAAAAAGTTAAGCTCTACATCTAAAGTACCCTTGTATCTGATTGAAACTTGTTAAAAAGTTTGTATATATATTTCACGGGATAATGCTAGGGAAACTAAATTTGGAGACTAAGTTTTGAAAGCTAAATGACATGAAAGTTGATGATTAGTTTATTACTTAAAGATTGATAAACGTGTTTATTCCTATTAGTAACACATGATTTAGTTTACAAATTGAGTCTCCAAATTTAATCTTCCTAACATTATTCATATTTCACGTCTTTCTTTCACGTCCATTTCTTTCCCCACCACTATAGTTACATCCCCACGTTTAACTACTGTTCCTCCGCACTGTCATCCACACCCCATGATCCTCTCTCTATCTCGCCCCTCAAAACAGAGAAAAAAATTGTTGTTCTTTTTAAAGTTGGTTGTCATGATGTCATCCCGCTCTACATATACACAATTGTTATCTATATATACATACAAACTACAAAGCATCGAAAACTTGAACTCCAAACTATTAAAAACACCATGAGTTGCCCACAGGATTGGCCAGAGCCAATAGTCCGAGTACAATCCTTATCCAACAGCCCCGTAGTCCCAGATCGATACATCAAACCCCCACCTGATAGACCCACCTATATCCCATCATCCGATATTTCTGATCATGCCAACATCCCAGTTATTGACTTACAAGGCTTATCCGGCGAAGACGATCGCCTGCGTGCCGCCACGCTTAGCCAAATCTCCGAGGCCTGCCGTGAGTGGGGATTCTTCCAAGTGGTGAACCACGGCGTTAGCCCGGGACTGATGGACAAAACCCAACAGGTTTGGCGGGAATTCTTCCACTTGCCGATGGAGTTGAAACAGGCGTATGCCAACTCACCAAAGACTTATGAAGGGTATGGGAGCAGGCTTGGAATTGAGAGAGGCGCCATTCTTGACTGGAGCGATTACTATTTCCTTCACTATCTTCCGTCGTGCTTAAAGGACTACAACAAGTGGCCTGCCCTCCCTGATTATGGAAGGTAGGTTTCTAATTATTCATACTTAAGTAATTAGTGTGTGGTTCTCTTTTCCGTTACGTATGGATAGATGGATGGATGGATGGATGGAAATATTCGTATTTGAATAGTACAACTTGTTATAGTAAAAATATCACTATATTAAGAACTCGTTGATATGTTTTGTCTTCCCGATTTCCTGTATGTTCTTCATAATCATAAATCATCCCTACTAATTATTTGTATTGCATGCTTGGGAAAACAAAAAAACAGCATACGTATAGTAAGTGATATGTGCATGCTCAGGAAATAAAATTAGTCTACAGTACAAGTGAGTTGTACTTAAATTTTTAATAGTTAGTTTCACGTTAAACTTGTCTGTTGGATTTGCAACAATATTTACGATTTCTCTTTTAAGTCGAAATGTCAAAATTTGAATTCCTTGAGATGAATTTGTATATTTTTTTTCCTTATTGTGGAAATTTAAGTTGTGTATCTTTTTTTTTTTTTTTTTTCACGATAATTGAGTTGTGTATTTGCATGGTTAATAGGGAAGTAATAGATGAGTATGGAAAGGAGGTAGTGAAGCTTGGTGGGAGGATATTGAAGGCTTTGTCACTAAACCTTGGATTAGGAGAAGACTTTCTTCAAAATGCATTTGGTGGCCAAGACATTGGGGCATGTCTAAGAACTAACTTCTATCCAAAGTGCCCCCAGCCTGACCTGACCCTTGGCCTGTCGTCGCACTCGGACCCCGGCGGAATGACCATTTTGCTCGCCGACCAACAAGTCCCAGGTCTACAAGTCCGGAAAGATGACGCTTGGATCACTGTGAAACCAGCTCCACACGCTTTTATTGTCAATATTGGGGATCAAATTCAGGTGATTTTTCTACTACTTTTTTTTGTTGGTTTTATTCGTTTATTATATTTATTTTTTCCTCTAGATTAAGCTCATATAAAAAAAATATTGAAAATTTTTTACACTAATATTATGGTTTAGCTATATTTTCATCTTTCGATTCTCTTGGTAACAAATTCGATATCTTATTATCAGCTGACTCATTATATGATTCCGCATACATCATCCATTCCAATATTGTTATATTAAGTATTAAATAAATATAAAAAAAAGTATGGTTTACCAATATGCATGAACCACAAGCACATGGAGGGGTCAACTTGTGATGGGCTGCTCCTCCTCTTCCTTACCAAGTCATACAATTTGGGTCAAAACGTGCCTCTTTTAATAAATCCATGTGATGGAGTCATATTTCCATGCCCGCTCAAAACAGCAAGGTGCTTGAACAAGTTGTGTGCCAAGTGATGATTGTTCGGAACTTAAACGACATGTGTTCGGAACTTAAACGACATGCATTCTCAATATATTTTGCTTTTCAAAAAATGAATTGAAGAAAAATGAATTGCTATGTTTATACATGCAATTGTGATAGAATATTGTTTAAAAAGATACTATCGACAAATAATCACTCATTCTGTTTCTATCAATATTCTAATTTTTATAAATTGAACTATTTCTCATATGGTATTGTCCAAATCTTTGTTTTGAATTAGGTCTTAAGTAATGCAACGTACAAGAGTGTAGAGCACAGGGTCATCGTAAACCCAGCTAAAGAGAGACTCTCGTTGGCCTTCTTCTACAATCCGAAGAGCGACATACCCATTCAACCGGTGAAGGAGCTTGTAACGCCGGACAAGCCTGCACAATATTCTCCTATGACGTTCAATGAATACAGGCTTTACATAAGATTGAATGGCCCTCGAGGAAAATCTCAAGTCGAATCTTTAAAGTCTCCACGAAATACATTGTGACATTAATTAATTTTCTTCACCACAAAAATTACATGAATGTATGTAACGATATCTTTGTATTGCTTCCTTTGAGCTAATTGTACATCTTGTAATCATGAAAGGATGAGAATATGGTCAAAGTATAGTGAAAAAAATTGATTAATTAAAGAAAATGATTGGAGCTAGCCAGAAATCATTGTATTAATATTGCTGAATGTTTATGGGTCTACAAGGATTCAAATTGCATCAATGACAATTGACAAGGATAATTTGTCTTACTTTGGGGCAACAATAAAATACTTCGACACACATGATATATTTATATTCATGAGTCATGTCTGCTATCTGTTGGTGGGGAGATTCATAGTTTTTTCTTGTTTCTGTTGAGAATGTCCCATATTAATATGAGGAAAGACTTGTATGAGCTTATAAGTAAGTTGAGTTAATCCTCATATTGCTAATTGGTTTTATGGTAAAGTAGGTTGTCTCACGTGTAAAACTCAATGGCCACACAAGCGCTCCATGTCACCCTGTTTGTGTTGTCCACATGTTTGCCTTGAAAATTCGTCATACGTGAGGAGGTGTATTGAGAATGTCCCACATTGAGGGAATGAGAGACCTTGCATGAGTTTATAAATAAGTCGAGTTACTCCTCATATTGCTAAATGATTTTATGGTGGAACCTCAACTTTCTTTGGTTTCTTTAATTACTTGATAAAAGAGAGAGACAAAAAAATTATGAGAAATGCTAAGGAGACTCGCTCAAAAGTGGGACTCTCTATGGAGTCTATGTCACCTCATATTTTTACCACAATATTTTATAATGTTAGTACGAAAATTAACGTTAAACTGCAAAGCTATAAAAATAAAACATTAATATTTGGAAACGCATCATAATATGTATTAGAAACTACCTAATTTCAATTGATCATGCGCGTAATATAGTGCCATCAGCCATCGATTGTCTTTGACTAATTGATTAAATGTACGATTTTTGACTAGCTCCTCCATCTTGTACATTAATCGTCATTACAAAGGAGGAAAATACATTATTTAGCATGCAAAAAGAATTATAGTTGTCATTTGAACTAACAAAAGCAGTAGTTTAGATCAAATATCAGGTTTTGTATCCGATTTTTAATGACCCAGCTCTTGTCTTACTGAACTTTATATTGCACTAAACAAAAATATCATAATTATAGAAAATACGTGTTCATTGTTTAATTAATTCTTATATTTGTAGAATAATACTTTTATCCCCGCATATCTCGCATCTTGCAAATAACATATCTTTACCATATATATTTTAATAATTCGAGCCGTTTCATTTCTTTCTTATCTTCATTTGAAGATCAACTTTACATAAAAACCATTCGAACGGACAAAGATCGTTTATGCATCAAATGTATCAAACAAATTGACAGAGTGAATATAAATAATATATTTATGATGAATCGTTCTTTTATTTAACACTTGAATGATTAACCAGCCTCCAATTCGATTTTTTTTAGGAATGATCTTCATTTGAAGAGTAATATATTAAATGATATGGATTATGAAATTTTGTACGATTTTTTTTTTTTGTCAAAGGCAAACATAAACTTTATTAATAGAAGAATATGTTATATGAGATAAACATATAAACAAGTTGTAATTAGGCCAAAAAGACCAAGAAGCCCAAACAAGATTCATCAGACTTAGTCTGTTGACACAAGTCTACACCGCCACAGCCACAGTACAGCTTGCTATTCCATTGCTTGGGTTGGCAAAATTTTTACGAAAAATTACTGGATGAAGTGGAGAGATTTTTTAATGTGATCGGTACATGGGATGGTACACCACATGTCACTAAACAGATGATGGGATATGTGTGCTAAAAAGTTAATAACTTAAAACATAAAACTTCTCATCATTCCTATTAAAACACATAATGTACCACTTATATTCCCGTCGCAACTAAAAATTGTTATCCATATACCATTAATAAAGGCTTAAAGCCGTGCTCTAGTAGAGCTTCAATTTTCTATGCCTCAATTCTGTACAAAGTCAAGTGTCTTTAATTTGTCGATTGATTGCAATAACATTTAACTAATAACAATTCATCACGTGTTCTTTATTAATTAAGTAGCTTTTTATAAGATAAAGTAAGATTATTGACTCATATGTCTAATAAGTTTGTCGTTCGTAATGTACATATCCAAATTTATCTTCTATTTCATTTTAAATTGTTGATTTGTTGGACAAATGTTGTGGTCGACATCTCGGCAGTTTTGTTGGGTTGAAATCTGGAACACTATGTTTACCATCAGAGTTGTATATTTTAATCATGGTGATGTCTGATGTGATTATACATGGTGGTCCTTACGAACCCGGATCCTAATAATCTGAATCTAAGGATTCATCGATCCAGACCGTTGAAATTTAATCCAACGGTTACAATTATTATAACTTTTAGATGAGCTCCTTGCTTGTAGCCGTTTGATCAAATTTCAACAACCTGGATCATTAGATCCTTAGGCTCAGATTTATAGGGATCCAGAGAGGATCTGGGTTTGGTCCTTACTAGAGAGAAAATTTTCATTGTGACTGGAACACGCGTGGTACACCACGTGTTTTTATATAAGTAGTGAAAAATTATATTTTTAAAATTATTAATTTTTTAACACATATATCCTATAATTTATATAATAATATATAATATATCATCCCGTATTCTGATCACATTAAAAAATCTCTAAGGAGCTGCTGGAGATGTGTAGGACCCCTTTCATTATCCATCATCAAAATCCAATGATTTGTTGTTTTCTTTCTTAATTAATTATATTCCACTAACCTACAATTGTGGCATGTGTGATAAACTTTCGTTGGCCTCCAGTCTAGTCTCTGCCGTGCGGTCAGCCTCTCCTATTTTCTCAACTACAATTCTAATTAATTAATATTTCAAGAAAATCACTGAATCTAACAACTTTTTAATTCGTTTGGTGTAGAAGATTCGATTAAATAACTCATAAACTAAATACTGGTGGAGGTGACGAACTTTTTATCGTATGGAGAGTATAAAAGATAAGTTGTAAAATATGTTGATGCTTTATTATTTTATAGGAATTGAAATGGGTAAGTTTTTGTTATGAATCTTTTATCTTTGACTTGTACAATATTTTTTTTATTTCTTCATTCAACTTGCACCAAATCTAGTGAGTTGTGCGATATAATCTAATTTTAAGCACCAAACCATGATAGATTATATGCAAGTACCAAGTTATATGGTTGTCTATGATGGCACGTAGTCCCTTAGAAACTTGTTGGTTTAAGTCTACCATCAATGGTCAATTTTAGGTCACATGCAATTGTCCAATCCAGAAGATCAAAGCCCTTCATTTCATTCCGCGTTCTAAATTAAGATATCCATTAGGGTTAGCTACCAGTAGTTGTAATTGTAGACAAAAGGACCATGGATCATGGCCAATTGTCAGTACCAATCTGTATCAATCACTTACAGACTATGAGAATGCAGCAGCACCTTGGAAGGACGTAACCACCTAAATTAGAAAAGCTCTTCTACGATGATGACAGATTGAAGGTAAACCTAGACTAAGCAAAAGAGGATGTGAATAAGCACAGTGAGATTCTCTTTTCAGGTCACGTTTGCAACTGTATTTACGTATTTGTTTTTGACATGTTACTGATTTATCGTCGACGTTTATCACTCATCTACACCATGATAGCTTCCAAAAAGAAAAAGAAAAATTAGTATCCGGTCCTTAGTTACTAATGTTATTTGATTGAAACCTTATTAGTTTTCAGATTTTGATTAAAGTCCCTAACATTAATGCAATAATGAATTTACATGTCAGTTACATAATTTTTTAAATAAAAATTAATAATTGATTTAGGATTTCAATACTCACACCTTTATTAAACTCCTAACTAATTTTCAATTCAAAACATTTCCAAAATAAAAAAAAAATTAGAATAAGTTTGTACCCCTTAATTTTTTATAAAAAGCTTTCCAATTTTTTAATCTTATATGCACCCATTCATGTGATTTTTCAAATTTTTAATCTTAAAATGTACCAATTCTTAAATATACCAATTTGTTGTAGTAAAATGTACCTTTTTTTATATAAAATCTATTCATTTTTTTTCTAATCCATTTTTAAACTCATATGGGTACATTTTTTTTTCTTGATTTGAGAATGTTTCCATGTCAAATTTAATCAAAGAAATTTACTAATTTTATTAAGCCTAATATCGATTAGTTTTTGTGTGGTTTTGAAGAATGTACCCATGTCACATCCCGGCCCGGGGCGGACCACTTCCCCAGCCCGCTCCACCACCGTAGCACGGTATTGTCCGCTTTGAGCCCTGACCACGCCCTTAGGGTTTTGTTTTTGAGAACTCATGAGCAACTTCCCAGTTGGTCACCCATCATGGGAGTGCTCTGGCCACCTTCTCGCTTAACTTCGGAGTTCCGACAGAACCCGAAGCCAGTGAGCTCCCAAAAGACCTCGTGCTAGGTAGGGATAAGAATATACATTTAAATATCACTCCCCTGGGCGATGTGAGATGTTACAATCCACCCCCCTTAGGGGCTCGACGTTCTCGTCGGCACACTTCCGGCCAAGGATTGGCTCTGATACCATTTGTCACATCTCGGCCTAGGGTGGACCACTTCCCAGGCTCGCTCCACCACCGTAGCACGATATTGTCAGCTTTGGGCCCTGACCACGCCCTCACGATTTTGTTTTTGGGGGAGTGCTCTGGCCACCTTCTCGCTTAACTTCGGAGTTCCGACAAAACCCGAAGCCAGTAAGCTCCCAAAAGGCCTCGTGCTAGGTAGGGATGAGAATATACATTTAAGGATCACTCCCATGGGCGATGTGGGATGTTACAATCCACCCCCCTTAGGGGCCCGACTTCCTCGTCGCCACACTTTCGGCCAGGGATTGGCTCTTATACCATTTGTCACATCCCGGCCCGGGGCGGACCACTTCCCAGGCCCGCTCCACCACCGTAGCACGATATTGTCCGCTTTGGGCCCTGACCACGCCCTCACGGTTTTGTTTTTGGGAACTCATGAGTAACTTCCCAGTGGGTCACCCATCATGGGAGTGCTCTGACCACCTTCTCGCTTAACTTCGGAGTTCCTACAGAACCCGAAGCCAGTGAGCTCCCAAAAGGCCTCGTGCTAGGTAGGGATGAGAATATACATTTAAGGATCACTCCCATGGGTGATGTGGGATGTTACAACCCATATTTTGGTACAATAATTTTTTTGTTAATTTTGATGAATGTACCCATGTTTATATACATATATATATATATACACACACACACAATATATTGGAGAGTATAATTTATATTTTAATCATTTTAATCCACAAATTATGGGTTTTTTTTTTTATAATCTCATTAATACAAATAACTATAAATTTCAATTTTTAATTTAAAAAATATAGTAACCTACATATAAATATATTATCACATTAATTTCAGGAACTTCGATAAAAATTTGAGAACCAACAAGATTTTAGTAAAATAATATTGATAGTTAGGGACCGCATCCAAAGTGTACTAAAAGAAATATTAACAAACGTTTCAACTGTTTTACTTATATGTACACGCAAGAATAAGGACATGCAACTTTGAATCAGTCATATAATCCAATGCTCCAACCAATAATTCAAGCATAATATATCTCATAGGGAAGGATTAAAGTATTGATTTATATGTGGACACGTCGACTCAATTTTATGGAAATAGTGAGACATCGATATCAACGGAAAGTTCGGGACAAGTTACTGGAGAAATATTAGGAGATCAAAAATGAAAAACCCTAGTTGGTGTTCATGAAATTCATCACTCGTATAATTCAAAAGGCATTTGAAGATGTAGAAAAAACAAACAGAGCTGGTGAAAAGACTCGGACGAGAGAACCGCCCCTCTGCTACAGTTCTTTAGCTTTATTCCTGCAACAAATGTATAAACAATGAGTGTCCTCGGATCCTAATATATCGGTGTATCGACGAATATTTGAATCCATAGATTATTGGTGAAACAATAAACTAAAGCATCTACCTCCAAAGAATAAAGATATTTATGTCATCTTAATTGCAGAGAAAGAATAAAAGTTGCAGAGAATGAACATGCAAAGGGGTTCATGCATGTAAAGGCTACGATTGCAATTTCCAAGTGGGAGCGAACGGGAGGTGACATTTCATCATTAAATTAAGGGCAAACTAATGAAAATGGTTTGAAAACTTTAAGTTTTAACGATAAAGATAAATTAAAAGGGTAAAGTGAATAGTATCAAGATTGACTTTTTAGTGTAAAAATATGATTTTTTGTTAAAATAAACAGTACCAGAAGCTTTTCGTTAAAATTCTCTTAAATTAAAGGAATAAACAAGTTTCTTCAATGGTACAGTGCGGTGCTTACATAAATACGAGCACGTTTCTTTTAGAATTTGTTAATAATAATAATAATAATTGTTATTATTAATATCATAGTAACTAGATCAAGTCCGCATCCATAAAAAAATAAAATAAAAATATAGAAGAGAGAGTAGTTTGAGAAAAATATGAGAAATACAGCGTGGAACAGTTTAAATTTATTTTTAAAATTTTAAAATATACTTATGATATGTCCGTGAGTAAGAAAAAATAAAGAAAAATTTAGGTTCCGTAAATTATATTACTCCCTATAATTTTGTGAAGAAAAAAAAATCATTTATCTCTCTTTTATTTGACAATTTATATTTATTTATTAATAGGTAGTTTAAATAGTAATAAATAAATAAATAAATAAATAATATATAAGATTGTGAGGTGGGCAATGTCACCTGAATTTTCTTAATTTTTCTTTTTGCTTTTGGACTTAATAATTTTGTGATCACAACGTTCACACAAAGCTAGTGAACAAGACTTTGGCGTCATCTGAGAAGAAAATTGTAAAATGACAACATTTGAGACCTACATTGGTGATATTTTGTCGCATACTCGATTTTCTAATTCCATGATTGATACACACTTGACTCATTTCATTGATATCACTTTTTTTTTTTTAAATTATACACGGCTTCGTATACAAAAATTTCGTGCTTATGAGTTCGGATTAATAACGATTGAACCTATTTGTCATTTTTAAGATATCGATTCTGATTGTGTCAAACTGCAAATCACACATTAAACTATTAAAAATGAGAATATTTAATAATTTCTTCGATAACTAAAGTAAACAAGATCAACATGAGTGATTTTTAACAAACTGAACTACAAGTACCTTGCTCTTCGTTTAACTACCTTTTGAACTAGAGGAAATGAAAAATAGAAAGAAAAAAAATTCCCTAGTTTTATTTTGAAATTAATTTCACAAAACTAGCCAAATATGAGAACTTTTGTTACCCCGAGATCGTTTAAATTGCTCCCAAGAGGATGCATAAACATCATAGAACAATTCAGAGCCAAAAATCAAAACCATAAACATCTTCTAATAACGAAAACTCAAGAGCATTCCATGAATAACACAAATGAAACGAGATCTACTTTGTACATTAGAGGAATACGGAGGGGCATATATCCGAAGGGAGAAAAACGCTAGAAGAAAAAACCACGGCGTCATGACCACTACCATGGCGGCATGACCCGAGAGTAGGAACAGAAATGAATAACAATGGCCAGAGAGTATCTGCTGACCAGACATAAGTGCCCCCGAGGTTTTTGTTACTCATCACTACTTGCTCTTCTTTGTGCTGCAAGAAGGACATTTGTACTGCTGAATGTATTCTGCCTTGGCTGGTGTTACCTTGACACACTTCCCATGGTACCACCTCTCGCAGATGTCGCAGCCGATCCAAAACTCATTGGCACTGTAATTTCCCCCACAGCTTCCACATAGGGTTTCACTATGCTCATCTTCATCCTCCAAATAGCTTACATCATGTACCTTACTGTTGGTCCTTACTTGTCCGTCAATCGATCTCTGCAAAGACACAAATTGGGTCATAAGCCCAAATTTTGCATAAAGGGAAAGAGTATGCAGATTCGTTTTGGCAGTCAATAATTTCAGAGAGAGAGAGAAAGAGGGCTTCACCTTTGAGTTCCTGGATTTACTTCCGCTATCCCCACTGGGCTTGTCTTTTACGGGCTTCCTTCCAGTTACGACTTCAAAGATTGTAGGCAGATCATTTGTCAAGCTAAACAGACGCTTCCTGTTCCAGGATCGATGGTCCCCAAATCACATTTTAGTTTCATGTTAGTTTCAACATGTTGATAAAATAAAGGAAATAATTTGCATGAACATGAACTGGTGGAGCAACGGAGCATTATACACTTTATTCCAAGTGCCCTCAATGAACAATTTCTGCTGAATCAGGGAGCTAGAGGCCGGGGCAGAAAAATGTATACGAGGGAAGTGAGAATGAAAGTTCTGGACTGGATGTATGTACTATGTAGAATCAACAGCTTCACTGATATACATTGCAATTGGTTGTGTTCTTTTTTGGTCTCAGACAATTGTTTATGCAACTATCAGAATCCCGTGCATTTAGAACTAACTTCCCAAGAATGCTTAGCAATCTCACCGGTTCAAATAATAGGGATAGAGATCTTTTTTTGTTCAACTTGAGTCAAAGAAACAATCGCGAGTTCATCCCAGAGAAATCAGCACCATGAATTCTTAGACATTAAAAAAACTCTTAACATAGTCCAAGGAAACGCAGTTTCTTTTAACTTGAATAGGAATTCACAAAAATTCAGGAAAGTTTTCTTGCCTCATACATTCTCTATAAAGACACAAACTCACAGCTACTTTCATAGGGTCCTTGAGAAGGTCCTTAGCTATTAACTCAGACTTTATATTGAAGAGGCATTGATTCCCATCCTTGTATGTCTTAGCCTACCAGACTTTATATTGAAGAGGCATTGATTCCCATCCTTGTATGTCTTAGCCTACCATATTTGATCTAAATTCTAACGACTGAAAAACGCAACTCATTTAAGGACCACAAAACAGAATGTGCATATGCAATACACACATATACTTAAGAAGTGAAATGCTGTACGATATGCTTCAAGCAAAATTGGTAACCAACATATCTTTTGTAGAGTAACAGAAGATACTAGTTCTATAATAATTAAAAGAGGCATATTAAAAGGGGGAAAACAAGAATAACACAACAAAAGAGACATACGCCAAGAGCTGGTCTTGCTGGTGTTTTCAAATAATCAACATTGACAAACGATACAATATCACACCCCCTAAGTTTATCATCATCCTTTACAAGTTTCGGCCATCGGCTGTCAACGAATCCTTGCAAATGCAATACTAATCTTTCGTGCAAACAGATAATAAGAGTTGATGAAACAGTAAGAGGACATGCTGGAAGGAAAGATTTTTGGTAAATGCACGAGAATGTAGAAACCTTCTGGTAGAACCCACAAATCAAATAGTAATGTTACTTCCACAAGTAGCAGACCAAACATACAAACATGAAATGTATTTGAAATTTGAATCCAATAAAAATATCCAACTGTCAGCTCTAGGACAAGAATAAACAAACCTCTCATTCCGATTAAGTCGAGCACCAAAGTAGAAAGCCACAGAGAGCAACCAAGAATCGCTATGTACTGCAATCAATGACAGCCAATCTTTACGGTTCATCCCATCTCTTGCAAAATTGATGCCCAGTGCAGGCTCGGGAAGCTCCGGGGGAACTTCCTCTGCCGGCAGGGTCACCTCCCACGACTCATCTGGGTGTCCATACAAGCACAAATTCTCCTTCTCTGAAAGAGATTAATCGTACAAGCTCGTAACTATAGAATCCGAAATTCAACAGAAGCATCATTCATTCAAATTAAACTAAACCACCACTAGAAAACGATGAGTAGAATCAATGAGCGGAAATTGAGCAACAATGCACTTTGTTAGGTTACCTACAAAACGCAGAAATCGAAACGAAAAACTCTAAATCTTACTTGTTGCAATATTCCTACCTAGTCAAAACCTATGACGACTATTATCCTCACTTGGAAAATAAATTTGACACAAATTAAACACCAAAACAATAATTAACAAATAAATAAACGTACTTAAGCTCAAGCCTGTATTTTCACTCAACTTTCTCGGCAACCAAACAGAGAACGAAAATTGAAACAAGAAAGTACCTGGATCGCAAAGGGAGTAGAACTCGTCCACATCTGAAAGTACAAAAAGGAAGCAAAAGCGTCAATGGAAGTCACGATACAAGCAATGCAGTATATGTATGAAATGAAACCGAAACGTAGAGAGAGAAAGAGAGATGTAGAGAGAGAGAGAGAGAGAACCGTAGGTGAGGGCGCGAATGACGGCGGAGCGACGGGCGCTGTAGTCCTTGAAGATCTCTTCGACGGTGCGAGGGCTGGACGATGGCATTTTCCCAATTTGTTTGTTATTTGATTTATATTTTTGTAAAAACAGAAGAGATGGATTACATAAGGAGGAGACCCGGGATTTCAATCGGGCTTGGGCTTCAGATATTGTATTGGATTTTTCTCATAATGGGTCATGTCAGATAATATACATCGAATTTGTAACATATTTACTAATTACTTTGTTGACCAACTCTGACCTCTTTAATAATGTGTGTGGACTCACCTGTATTAGAGAAGCGGTCAATAATGTAGTCTACAAAGATAGGTCAAATACTAGCGCTCTTGTCTTTATTAGTAAAGATTGAGCGTTCGAAATTGGGACATCTTTTAACATTGAGAACAATAGACTAAAAGCTAATTGGTCGAACACAATGGGTAGAAAATGTCCAAGTTAGAATCTTGGTCTATAATTCTAGCTTTTAGTCTTGATTTTCAATCCTCGTATGATCTTTCGTGTTAGGACAATGGATTGGATTAGTTGATTCAAGATATGGGTCATTTTTTCCTGTTAACTAAAGTAAAAAATGGCGGGGAGTCCGCATGAAACACATCCAAACATCTCTTTCCAAGTGTCAAAAAAGTTCCAAGCTCAAATCTTGAAAAATGGCGGGGAATCCGCATGAAAGCACATCCAAACATCTCTCTTCCAAATGTCAAAAAAAAGTCTCAAGTTCGAATCTTGACGGAAAATTTATAAAACTAACTCGTATTTTGGCTATTCTTTTGATTTTTGAAAATTTAGAAATATAGCCACTCAAAACCCGCTTGAGACTTTTGAGACCCTCGAGAAATGCTTCTTGTTTGACAAAAAATATACAGTTTGGCAGTGTTCATCCTTTCTCTGGTTTTGGCAATTGGCACACATAGAAGACACAAAATTACAAACACAGTAGCTACATTTACATATGATGCTCGAACAAAAGCCCACCAAAACCATATGGAATTTACGAGGCTTACATAGACTGGCCATAAATAACTACAGCAAGAGGCTAAACAAGCTTACTACAAAGCTACATATGATACCTTCCTTATACATCTACTTACAAACACTACACTTTTCCTGGCAATCATATTAGTACAATGCTAGGGGCAAGATAAGTTTTTGGTGCTCGGTGTTCCAACCAAATCCCTCCGCAAGTTTTGAGTTTTACGGTAGTGATTCTGTGCGAGTTATGTCGCTTTTGAACTTCTGCAAATGCCCTGCTGAGTACTTGTTCCACCCAATCTTCCACCACCCTCGACCTGTCTGACAAATATACAGCTGCAAGTAGTTGTTCCACGACTTCTGAATCGATTTCTAGCAGGCACTCTGAGTCAACAAACTTGTGGAAGCTATTCTTGATTTCCTTTGATATTTTCTCAGCAAGTGCATCAAAATCAACGGGCTTGAATACCACTGTCTCGTGCACCTGATCAAGGAAGTCTTGCAACGAGGACTTGGAGTTTTCAGATAGGTAGTCGTTTTCAGAGCTCCCATCGTCTGTGTTTTCCACTGCATTCTCTTCAGCTGGAAGGTTGAGATCCAGATACCTAGTTGACGTCTTGTTGGCCCGTTTGGGCATCTCTGAGACTTCATGCTGCCCTAGAAGTTCATTGACACCGACCAGTTTCCTTTTATTTAGAAAATGTTGATTCGTGGATGCCCTCCAGTTTTGGCTTCTGCTGCTGTCTTCGGAGGCACATTCAATAGTAATCTGCACAGGCCGCTCTTTCGCTTGTAAGATTCTTTCCTCGGAATAGTTGGAGAGTCCCTTCGTGGAACTGAGAATACTGCATCCCTTCGAGAATGTCGAAGTTGTAACAAATATCGCATTATTGGTGCTGACTTGTCTTCCATGGGAATCGGAAAATTTACCGGTCAATAAAGCCAAGGACAAACTATTTTGAGTCACCACATCAGCCTTATCTACATTTTCTAAGAAGATAATGGACAATGGTTTCTTGCACAATTCTCCGGCAACATAATCAATAACCGTCTTACCTCTAAACCTCACATCATAACCATTCACAACCGGACAATCAAAGTTTGTGTCTGAATGGATCATTCCATCCTGAGAATTTAGATCCGCACAGATCAATTGTTCCTGGTTTCCGTATAATACCTCAGCAAGGGCAAGGGCAATTTTCTTTTTACCATACCTATCAGGTCCTGTGAAATTGAACCATACATCCCTTCTGTGACTTGCTCCACAGAATTTTGCACTTCTAGATCGGCAGTTAGCTATTCTTCTGCTAATTACACTTACAGCATCAGTTTGCCAGCCAACCCTTTCAAAGAGAGCTCTGAAAAGCATCTTGACATCACTTGGATCAAACTGCCCATGGTTGTCAGGACTCGAGGAGGATGATGATCGAGTAGAATAGAGATTCCCATTGACTAAATCAATATTAGAGGAAAAGCAACCCAAGATGTCCTGTTGAACTGCTGGATTCAGATCTGGAGGTTTTTTCGGCGTATTACTAGCAGGAGAAGAGCATATTCCTAACCCTAAATCTGTGGTGACGGAAGCAGCTGATGTGGCAGATGTTTGGCTACCATCAACCACAGTAGAGTTGGACAAGCAAGGTGACCTGAGGCCAGCGGACTCAAGATCTTCATCTTTTGAAGTTTTTTCCCACACTTCGGAAGAGAAACTGTCGTTCTTAGCCTTTGGAGGAAGGCTTGACTGTGTTTGCACGTCTGCAGGCATGCATGAATCTGCAATCTTGCACTCAATTTTCTGTGAAGATATATTGGTGGTGTTGTCGTGGTTGCACTTCTCCACAGGAGACTGAAATCCTACCATAGTTGGAAAGAAGTTTGCTTCGGGCAGGGGATGAGAGTAGTGAAGATGCTGGCATTTATCATCCCATTTCTTTTGCAATCCTGAAACTTTGGCACTCGATAACACACCATCATCTTTGGTCTGCACTGAAGAGACACAAACTAGTTTTCAAACGAATAACGTAAAAAACCTGTAGTTTGAAGTAATGATTTCATTGTTAACTAAAAAAAGAAAGCCCAATACACCAGACTGGAAAATATTAGACCAGATACAAATCTTAACGGGAATAATTCCTCTATGAGTTAACGGACACTACGGGGGAAAGGCTTAAAATTCATAAGGAATAAAACTTTACAGAATGCGTGATGCAAGTAGGAGTTCATTTATCAATACATCGCATCACATATTCCATTCCAGAGGTTTGGCACATTGCACAATTTAGACAATTAAAATCAGAATCAAATCTGTATTGATCGCGATACACACCTTCACATCCGATCCCTTGTTTGTGCAAAGCGGAGCCATCTGCAACCAAGAAGGCAAACTAGCTTGGGGCTGACCTGCCACTGAAGCGGTAATACCTCCCATTGGAACTGAACATGCTTCTTGCTCGGATATTTTATTGCGCTGGTGATTGCGGGGAAGACATTGGTAGGAGCAACTTATTGGGAGCTTTAGGTCAGAAGGTGCTGAAAAGAATCCACCAAATGGAACAAACGACTCCATCAAGCTGTAAGTACATCATGACCAGGAAACTGTGAGATTCAGCAGCAGGCATCATACAGTCAGGATTTAAACCGAAAATACGAGTTCTATACACTCTTGGCACGCAGGACACACTTTTTCCGAAGACTTTAAAATGTAGGGAAATATACATAGATCAAAACTTTTAGAAACCTTCAACAGAAATTACAACTTTTTCGCTACACGGGCACTAAATAAGCAAGGAAACACATTTTAGTGCCCCTCTCGTGCACCCAAGTTCGAATCTTCCCGCAAAAAAATTGAATAAAATGCATATAAAAGTAAAGATTAGGAGGCAATGACTCACCTGGACCTGGGATATGATTCAGCCATGGAAGCAGCTCTGAGAGAAGTGATGGGCAGAAGCTGCAAGTCCCAGTCTTTTTCCACAGATGGAAATCTCCCCACAAACTTCAAGTAACTTCCATAGCTAGCCGTTGCACCAATCAACCAAACTTTCCCGCGCTGAACCTCCAACAGCCTTGTGACCTCGGCAACCACGTGACTCACAGAGTCAGCCACCGCGTTCTCAGCCACAAACGCCTTCAAGTCCCCAATATTCACAACAATCCCAGGCCCCAAACTCTGCTCTGCGACCCGACCCACCTCCCCGAACCTCAAACTTACTGACCCTTTATCGTAATCCTCGGCTATGAACTTTGACACATCGTTTTCCGCTGAAACTACAGACAACCCAGATAGCTCCGCCGGCAAAACGCCGCCGTCTTTTTTCTCCAGAGCCTCCACGAAGCTCTTGAGTGCGTCATGAGCGTATACACCCACAAGCAGAGGATTCCGCCCTCTGTTTCTCCCGAGAACCTCTCCTATTCTCCTCGAGTTTTCGTCCCCGTCAGTTAAAACGGATCGGGTCGGGTGACCCGTGTCAGGGTACTCGGCTAAGTTGCAGAGAAAGAGAGGATGGTGGCCTCTGGAGCGCGGGTATCTGAGAATCTGAGGAAAAGGGCGCAAAATTGCGAGCTTTATTTCGGAGCTACGAAAACCCGCTTCGGCGAAGACCCGACTGACGACGGGGTCGTCGAGAATCGATAGAATCAGGTGCTGGAGCTCCACTTTAATGGCGGAGATCGAGGACTGCTGCGAGAGCTGGTGGTAGAGGTGGTAATTCTCGGGCTGCCTTCGCTGGTTGGCTTGTGACCGTTTGATGGCGGCCATGAGCGAGTTCGAAACGGGCGGGTCGTCGGCGAGTTGGGTCGAGGAGACCCGGTCGAGCGAGACGCTGAGGCAGAGCTCCAGAGCCTTGAATTGGAGTCGGGGCGGGTAGGCGGAGTTTCGGGCTCGCGCGCAGGCGTCTCGTAGCGCGGAGGACGGGAGGGAGAGCAGAGCGGATATGGCGTGCAGTGACGTCGTTTGGCCGTGTCCTCTACGGCGCGCGACTGCCACGGCCTCGTCCAAAGCGTTTGCTGCCTCCGCTGTCAGGCATTGCCTGGCCACAGTAACCGGCGTAGGCATCGCCGCAGAGTATATGTAAACTAGTCGAGTAGAGTGCCATGTGTAGCAAGAGTTTCTAATTATTTATGGGGGGAAGGGGAGGA